GGAAAGATTCTATCCGGCGAGAATATTACATTAGCAAAATTAAACTTTTATTATATGTACTTATATATATATATATATACATACTTTTATGCTTTTTTATATGTGTATATGGATATATACTAACAGAGATATTTTTTGGTTTTTTAAATCTTCTCATTTGCTTCTATCGTCATGAAGTTATTATTCATTCGTGACAAATATAATATCTCTGTTATCGTACTTTCTACTAAAGCATGATTTTTTTTGGTTTCTCTTGCAGCAGCCAGAGCGACAGATTGTCAAGGTAAGAAATACTTGGTCTTGTAACTGCTTGTGTTTTCTGGTCAAAATAATCGTTTTTTTTTGCTCATAACATGAAAAAATAAATAAACTTCAAAGGGCAGTTGTTTCAACTTAATACAGACCGATATCCTGCAGCAAAGATTGAGAGGCAAATTTCAAACGTTTGTTATTCACAGTATCATTACTCAGAGTTACGTTTCAATTTATTTTAACATCAAGTATATTTCTTTTGTTTCAAGAAAGTATTAATGTGGTTGTATGCTGTGTATTTACTAATGTGTGACAGGTCGCTCTGACGGAGAATGGAAACTGGTTCGAGATATCCCCGGAAGTAAGTAAAACTTGTATGATTAACGTTCTTGTTTTGATAGATAAAATTATGATAATACTAAGAAATTGGTTTTGATCTTGTATAACCTTTGAATATAATTTGTTTGCAGCATGGAATGAAAGACGTCAATGTTGCGTCGGGACCAGAGAGCACTCCCAATTCCTCTAATTCAGAAGGTAAGATGTTTCTAGCGATTCTCAATTCCTATAGCAATCTACGAAAATTATATTAAAAATATAATTTCATTATTAAAATAATTTCATTTTCATTCTTCTTATAACATTGTGTTTTTTAAATATCTATAGCATTTTTGTGAATATAATATTTTGCGAAATCTTTCTAATAAATAACGCTTATTATAGAGAGAGGAAGAGCTCGGAGAAAACGACGTGATTTCTTTGGTACCATAAAGAAGCGACTGAGTCGATCCAAAACGAGAAGTAGATCAGTTGGTCCTGAAGGTGAGATCAATCACGAAGACGCTCATTCGAGATCCATATCCGCAGATAGAGCTCGCGATCCTGGATCTGGTAAGTGTAATTTAGTATTCTTTTGTCTCTTATACTTCTCTCTCATATTCTCTCTCTTATAAGTTAAATTATTTATAATATACTACATTTATGACGATTCAATTTTCTTGTCGCATATGATATTTTTAACGATCGCGTATTTCACATTTGTTGTATGCACCTTGAGAAAAATTTACTCGATCAAGCAACTGAACAGCTTAGACAAGTTTATCGATCAGACTACTAACTTACTTCTTATCTTTTTAATCTTATTATCTTTTTTAATCATTTATCCTCATTCGATTGTGTTGTACTGTACTCATTTGTGCACACTCTGTCTTGCTCACATATGCGTAACTCTCATGGTACTCGATTTTGGTAAGTATCTTAGCAAGAAAGAATATAATGCAAAAACTTTGCTTTTCAACATAGGCGATAAACTAAGAATATAAAGTATATAAGTATATAAAGAAAATATAATGAATATTGTTAAAATTCATTATATCGAAAAATCGTTAATAAAATCGTTTTATTTTTAGATTTCGATTTAAGAATTGATTCAGTAAAATCAATGATAATTTAAATGCGAAAAAATTAATAGATTATTTATATGCCCGGTAATTGATTGTTTCAATTCGATGTAGACATTTTATACCTTCAATAAGATGTACAATTATATTGTACATTTTTATTTTGTCTATTCAGAGAGCTGAGTTGAGCACATTTCTTGGTAATCAATATATAATTATATATAATTTATCCGTCGTTGTGTTTCGAAATCTATTTTCATTCTTTCATTTGTATTAGTAAACGTTAACGTATATTTGATAAGAATTGATTCTTTTTTGTAGCTCATCTGTCGGTACCAGAACAATCGAGACGATCGAGTTTGAGCGAAGCCTCGGGTATAAGCGGAACATCCACGAGAACGTATATTAATGAAGCTTCTACACTCGTTCTCGAGACGTTAGAAAACGGCATAAAGAAGTAAGTAACTCCCATCCTAACTCCTTGCTTGCACCTTTTGTATTCTTAAAGGAAAAAAAAGAGAAAAAAATCTTTTATATTATGCTACATTGTCCATTTTTTCTAATCTTAGGCATTATCTCGTCCCACTCTCTCTTGCACAAAAAATAAATGGAGGAAGAAAGGAATAAAGCTCCATATATTTAATGATCACACGTTCATTGCCAAACATATGGCTGGGTAAGCATTATATTATCGATGTAACAAATACTGGCAACGACCAAGTTGAAGTTGTCGCATTGACCAACAATAATACTCATAGTATTGCATTAAATAATCCTTGACAGAATATTGCCGATAATATCGATAATGACATGCAAAATATTCAATTCATTTTGTTTCTAGAGGAACAGTTTGCGAGGTATGTAAAAAAACCCTCGCACGAAGACTCGGCAAGCAAGGCTACGAATGCAGAGACTGTCAGATGAAGTGTCATAAGCATTGTCACGTGAAAATCGATACAACATGTCGCACATCTACTATTCAGAGCATCGAGCTGTAAGTATCCCAAATTTTCACGGTTTAAATATTAAGCCATAATCGTTTTAAATATTAAGTTAGATATTTCCAAATTGCAATGAAAATTGCAGAGATTTATTACATTAAAATTAAAATTTAAAAAAAATTTTCAAGCGCTATTACAGTTATATCTATATGCCGTATATTTACCGTTATGAGACGTTACGAACATGTCCTAATATATCCTTTTCTCGCGTAAGGTCCTTACTGCCAGTACTGAGCGAATAGGATAGGTAAGATTCTTCGCATAAAAACGAGTGAATTTGCTAGTGATATCACGCATGAGAAAATGTTTGTCCTCAATAGATCGATTTACCTGATTTGCTTAGAAAGCTATTTATGGAAATGCGTTAATTCTTGTTTGCTCCTACTGCTTATCTGGATACTTCCTTCTAATTGTATATTATTGAAATTAAGAAAAATCTTGTTATTTTTGAAGATGTTACTACTGATAAAGCACGATCCAATGTGCATATATACGCATATGATTTGATTTCTGTTCTTTTTATCTCTAATCCAGAATTCATCAAAAAAACCAACTTATGTAATAATATTTATTACTTTTAGGATGTGCATCAAGGTTCCGCCACTCGAACGAAAGCCTTCTATGCTTCTATGTTCGCGGTAACGCGTTCGCCTCTATCGCGTTTCACTTATTTCTAACATAAAAAAATACAATAATGATTTTGTAATCAATTTCTAAAAGTTTCCTGCGTTTCACATTTTAACTCTTTCATTTCCGAGACAAATAGATAATTTAATCTACATATGTACTTGTCAATATTTTACAAATACAATTGTTTCACGGAAAGACAGATCGTTTGCATTTACGCAAACGTAATTTAATCTTAAAAGTTTGTTAAATCTAATTTAAAATATCTACTAATAAGTTACAAAGTACTGTATTGTAAAAGATGGATAAATTAGACATTAGGATAAGAATTTATTTTATGGAAAGTTATAATTCTCTTATATCATTAGCGTATTGAATTTAAATTTTGCAAAATTAATTACTATTTTTATTTCACCTAATTCACCAATCTTTTGCATTCATTGTCACGTTTTCAAATGATGAAAGCAATAAAACTCAAAGTTGAAATTCAGAACTTGATACATGTGTTACCGTACGCTGTACGGAATAATATAAACTTGAGAAATATTCTTCGTTGTCGTTTGTACAATTTTCTTGTCGTGACGAATAATCATAATTCAAAATTGATCACTGATCATCGAACATCTAATTTTGTTTGGAGACACGTCAAATTAAATTGTCAAATTCGATCTACATTATTTTTTATTAAAATAGTCAAAGACGCGATTTTACGAAATATACATTGTGAAAGAAAATGTAAAATTATATGAGTGACAAAAACAAAAAATGCAAAAATTATGTTACTTGGCAAAGGGAAATGCGCGGAATATATTTGCGTATACGAAAATGATACCAATAATGAATAAATTTTAACTCTGTTGTGAAACATGTATCACGCTTGACGCCATGCTTGATGCAATCTCTCCTGTCGCGCTCCAGGAGGATTATTTGTATATTTGCCAATGGCGTTGGAGGGTGTCGCCGCTGCAGTCCGACCTGTATCCATCGAGAGAATAGGACCATCATCTCTCTCTGGAGTACCGGTTGTGGGAATTCGAGAGAACACATGTATATATGTATATGTAATATACGTATATATGTGTATCATTGTATTGTTGACGTGTTATCCTAAATACATTATTTGCGATAAATATCATCACATGCCTCGGTAGTCGAAGGGATAAGATGCTTGCCCGGTAAGCAGGAGATCCAGTTTCGATTCCTGGCTGAGGTGGTATTTTTTCGGAAAATAATTACGAGTTTTCACGACTGGTTCGTGGTCGGCCCCACCGTAACGCACACTCTCCCTTCTTATTTGGCGTGGTGTGTATATAATTTACCGGTGACTGCGTAAATAAATAATAAAATAGCGATATTATTAGCAAAAGCACTAATCAAGATAACAATTCTTATAACAATAATAACCACGAAAATAACGTAAGTTATAACGACGACAGTGTAAAGCAATATGGCAAAGGCAATGTGCACCAGGTTATTACATCTAATTCTACCAAACTCGACTAACTTTCTTTTAGCACAAACATCTCACAACTATGTACCTGTGTAGTTTTGCCTTAATGCAAATATGCATACACGTTTACACGTTGAACGGGAAACGACGATGCTGCCTTATTTTGGTTATTGCATTCACGATAAGGAGCAAACCATTTTAATGAGGATTCTATCGATTTTATGTGAACATTGATGAATACGAGAATATCGCAGATTCAAGTACATATTCGAACACGTAAATAAGCGTTTATGATGCAATTATATTAACCAATGATATCAAAGTATTTCAAGAACGAAATGCGACACAGGTTATACACTAACTATTGCTTGTATTTCCTCTCACACACACACACACACACACACACACACACACACACACACACACACACACACACACACATTATTGCAACTAAAAATTAAATTATTTATATAATTATAAATATTATTTAGAAATTCACATAAGTTATTATTTCTCTCATTACAAAGGAATTTTTGTACTACTATTTTAATACTATTTGTATTATTCAAGTATTTTTATATTATTTTTTTAAAATATCTGCGTTTTAAGTACATATAATCATATATGATTGTTTTGTGTTAGAATAGCGCGGGTGTATTTTGACCCAATTTTCATTGGCTACTCAGCAGAGAAAACAGATCAGTGATTTTTCAATATAATTGGTCCTTGCCTTTCTTCGTGAATGTATCTTCGTAATTTTCGATAGATTGAAATTTATTGCTTGTATTCTCTATTCTTGTTGTCTCTTGTGCATAGATATTATCATTTAATATTTATTCTTATTACTAATATTTTCTCCTTTATGCATAGGACCTGAAATTATATTTTTTGCCAATATAAATATTTAAAGAATTTGTACAATATGCGTATTTTTTTATATCAAAAATTAACGATATTTTTTCATTATCATTCGTATGAATATACAAAACATGATAATATTAAACATATTTTAACATAAAAACTAAATATTTGTTCATAAATGACTCTGTTATTAATTTAACTTAACAATGGTCGCGTTTAAAAAACACAACATTACGGTAGAATAATTTGTAATTGGTCTAAATTCATGGATCTAATAGTAAAGACCAATAATCATTAATCCTTCGCTGATCGTTTTTTTTCTGCTAAAAATCTTTGATATGATTGGTTTTTGTCCATAGTTCCTTATGGATCTAAATGTATAAACCAATCATATTGAAGAATCTTATACAGTTGCAAAACTACTTTTTCTACTGAAAGCAATCAATCTATTCTATCATAATAAACCTGTCTTTTTTTTTAGTGAATTTGCTATCGTTTATTTTTCTCCTTTTCTTTAACAAAAGATAAACGATATAAGAAATTTAACTATAAAGAAGTAAAAAGAATTGATCCAAGATTGTGAGAATTTTTGAAGACTTGAGAACTTTCTATAATTAACTTCAAAAATTTTTTATCATACAATAAATGAAACATTAATCTTACAAAGCGGTAATTTAATATTTATTTCTGTTAAACGATTTAAACTTATAATTTCTTGCTCTTCTTTAGATCATTCTAATGTTTATATCTCTTTTCGAATATTCTGTTGTCAAGGGGTTTTTATATTGTTTGCTGTATGAATCAGCAGTATGAATCGTCGATTTCGGAATAACACATATCGATCAAACGAGTCCTTTCACTAAACAATGATAGTTACAGATGTTGAGGTGAGACGGTGAGGATAGTGTGGCAGTCTCAGCAGTGTAGGGATAAGTAGTCCCAGAAATACTCAAGGAGTGGAAAGCTAGCTCTTCATTTATAAGATTAACAGAAGACAAATTACAGATAAATCATGGTAATTGATTTTTGATTTAACAAAGTTATAGCATATTTATCCCTTTTATTATAATTCTTTATCCTTGTTATTTTAAATCAGTGAACTTTTATGAGAATTATATTTTCTATTTTTCTGAAATTATCAAAATTATTTAAATTCTGATATTTCATAAAGCTGTGTCAAATGACAAATGACATACATATATATCTATGTGTTATTTTTGATAGTTTTTATAAAAATTTCAATTATCTTTTATATAGGCATGTACATCAAAGACAGCTGCTGGTGGCAGAAGGAACTTGCGAAAAGTCGATTTAAATAAAGTGGAAGAATCTCAAGTAAAAGAGGCATTTGATTTATTTGATCCAGATGGCACTGGAAAAATTTCTTCCAACAAACTTAAACTAGTTTTTAAAGCTTTGGGATATGATTTATCGTTACAAGAGATAAGGAAACTCGTAGCAGAATTTACACCAGACTTTCCTAATGAGATATCGTATGAAGATTTCTTAAAAATAATGTCTGTGAAAACGATGAATCAAGGAATCAAAGAAGAAATATTACAGGCTTTTCGTCTTTTCGACGATAACAATACAGGGAAAATATCTTTTGAAAATTTGAAGAGAGTTGCCATAGAATTAGGAGAAAATGTCACTGATGCTGTTCTACAAGATATGATTGATCAGGTGGATGATGATGGTGATGGCGAGATATCGCTGGAAGAGTTTTCAAAAATCTATCAATATATGTCATGTTGACTTCACCTTAAATTAAAATCATATCTGTGTTAAGAGTAAATCTATTAACATATGTCGTCTTAACTTTATATTGAATTAAAATTATATCAGATATCTTTAAAAATTAATAATTGTATCGTATTTATATACATATTTATATTTATACTAAATGGGAGACTAATAATTTTACTATGCTTATATATTATTTGAAATGAAAAGACTAATACATTTTTTGATATATTTTTCACAGTGGTATCTGTTTGAATGTATGGTTAGTGTAGATAAATAATGTTAATTATATAATATATATTATCGCTAGCATTAGATCTACTCTTTTAGTTGCATCTTTTATATTTTCCTAGATTTTTATCTTTTTATTTTTCCTCATGCAAAATAGAAACATTATTTTATCTCAAATTTATAATACAACTAGAAACTATATATATGATAAGGATTTTTGTGATAATTTTTAATGTCTCATAGTTTTTGTATATCTAGTGTATAAAAAATACGATAGACAATATATAAATTATTACTTTATTTTTTAAGAAGTATTTACGCATTTATCTCCACATCATTTACATTCAATGTTGAGATGGCAGCATCGATTACTGATCTAACTAACTTAGCTCTTATCTTTGCCATTTCTAATCCTTTGGAAAGCAAATTTTCAGATATTGGAATTCCACCTGTATTTAATTTAATATATTATTATATATAATAAAATAACAAATCATGCAGATTCCATTGAGATATAATACTTTACAGATTATTGCATCACAATTTGTAAATATAAAATACACACCAGGTTTATGTACAAAACAAATTTTTTCTTCATCATCCATCACAATAGAAAATCTTCCTGACGATAAGTCTTCCTCATCATCTGTAGGATCAGCTATTAATAATTGTCTATAAACACAAATATTAATTAGAAAATCACACATCTATACATACATACATTCGAAATATCTCTATTATTAAATTGAAACCAACTTTTCAAAAACTGCAAACGATACGGAAACTGGGAACGTTCTTACGATAAACGATTTTTTGTTTTTTGGATGTACAACAGTTACTTCTGTTTCCTTATTATAATTTACTTTGGGTAGGACCACTGCAAAATAAATTTTTTCTTGAAGTACAGACAGGGAATTGGAAATTGTTACGTGTTTTCAAACAGTAATGTAAGGACGCATAACTTACATGTTTTGAGAGCAGCGATCATTGCCCCAGTACAAGCATCTATAACCGAGCCATTATAATTAAGACATAGAATATCACAGTATAAAACCCATACTAATTTACCCTTGCAGATACAAAGGTCCCTCAAATCAAGCGCTGCTGAATTATTCAAAATAATATCTATCAATTTAGAAAGTACTTGTGCTTGTTCGCTTGGTGGGCCTGGACGAAATTTTGAGGAGCACAAAGGAGATAATTCCACATTTGGTACTATGTAACCATGATCTGGAGTATCTGCTTTTGGTGTTGCTAATTCCTAAAATAACAATTTTAATTGTTATTTCATTGTTGTAATAAAATAATTATAATTAAATTCAAATATTTTTTTATTAATATAAATACTATAACCAATTATTTAAAGAAAAGAGAATCTTAAATTTAAATAATATATAAGCATTTGAAAATATAAAAATGTATACAAATTTACATAAAAGTTATATACTTACAGCTTTAATACCACACACTGCAGTTGTATCACCTAACTTGAATATCGCTGAACTGTCTGCCTGAACAATTGAAGAGACGTTTATGCTCACTGGTCGAAATGATAAGAATTTTCTACCATCCGGTCGAATGTCTTGTTCCTGTAAATAGCAAATTCCTTTTTCTTTAGAAAATTTCAAAATATTCTCCTATTTATGATATATATATATAATACTCACGAGATGGTCATGCAAATATTTCACAGGATGAATTGTTCTGCAAATATTAAAAAAAAATAAAGTCCTTAAAACGAAAATTTATAATTCAATCTCGAAATTTTAGAAACTAATTAGAGATCTCTTAAAACTTTGGCAAAAGAATGTTTTTTTACATTTTTACAGAAATAAGATGATGGTTTTTACTTATTGTATATTTATTTTTATTTGAAATATAAGCACATACTTGTATTGTAAATCCATTTGTGTTATATATTTCAATGTTTTTATTCTAAATAAACTCTTTCTCAATCTTAAACTGCGTAACTTGGAATTTCATAAACACAGAAAGACTGGATCATTCATAAGCAAGTCAGATGTAAAAGACCACAACAAAATATGTTACACTCTAACGTCTGCAGTTTGTACAAAGTGAGATAGGTCATATACGCGTGTGTTAAAGAAAAGAAGAATGAGAAATGAGAAGAATGAGAATGAGTGCAAGAGTGCAATTACTGTGAACAAACCATAAGTTTGATCCTTTCAGTTGAAGAGAATAGATCTCTAGTTATCTCTCATTCTATTTTTGGCAAGATAATAGACTATCTCCTGATTAAGGATGCATCTGTATTAGGTTTGTTGCTCCCTAATATTTTTTGTCTATCTAAAGTGAAAAGGATATATATATATATATATATATATATACACATCAATTGGAAAAAAGAACGAGAAATATGAGTGCAGAAAGTGCAGGCAATGTGATTAAATCTTATCAACAGAATTTGGTGGTTAGAGATGATAAAAAAATTCTATTGCTAGATGTCATAAGTTGTCCATTTCTATAATATATATTAATCTTGATTAACTTATTTTTTTATCTTTTTAATTCTTAGTCTGAGAATTAAAAAGATAAAACAAAAATTAAATCAAAGTTAAAAGTCTTTGAATAAATCAATATAATTGAAGCAGTAATTATTTACATAAGAATTTAAGAGATATTTATTAGACATTAAGATCGATCTAGAGGTGAGATGAGGGACGCCTTGAAATTGGCGGATAAGATTGTAGTTCGCGATGGCAGCCATCTTGAATGCCTGGCTTCTGTGCGCGCCCTCCCCACCATCCATGTTATTCATCCGCCTGATTCTTTACGTATTCCCTGATTACGGCGCGAATTTACGCGATTACATCGCATCGAGTGCGCCATATTTTCATCCTGCGCGCCATGGTGGCCTGATCCCGCCGTTTCAGCGATTGTTTCGTTCTGTGAGTCGAGTGACGAGTTTCAGAATTTTATTGAACGTGAGAAGACACCGGCTTGGGAATCGCGCGTCGCTTTCGGCGTCGAGATACGAGACTCGCGCGCAACTCAAGTCTCAGAAAGACGTGGAGGACAAAACGAAAGACTGAAAGGTTATTAATGGCGATGTTCGGGAATCCGCCGCGACACGTCCAGAGCTGTATCTAGGAACGCGGTGAGGAATATCGAGTTCACTTGTTTTCCCGTATTTCGCCGTGTTTTGCGGTCTCGTCGACGCGATGTCGAGCAGATACGGGCCGCCAAACATGGCCGAGCGCTGCCGCATTTGTTTGATCGACCACGGTTGCATGACGAGTCTGAATAATGAGCGCGTAGAAGCCAAGCTCAAGGATCTGACCAAGTGTACCTGCATCGACGTGAGTCTCTTTTGTATCTCGTCAATTCTCCGAGTCGACAGCTATTTGTTTCGAATGTTTATCTCATCTCTCTGTCTCTCCGTAGATCAAGCTTGAGGATAATCTGCCTGGTGTTGTATGTCATATATGCTTGTATAAACTGAATATGTGGACTGAATTCAAAGAACGTTTCATACAATCCAACAAAGTTCTTCTGGAACAGCTTGAGGCATCAGAAGTATGTGATGATACTGTAAGTAATTTCAATATTCCTTTTTCATATCAATCATTTGCTTTAGCATAATATCTTTTATTTTCACTTCAGGTAAGAGATACTTCCAAGGATGAAAATCAAGTATCAACAATTATAAAAAGGAAACATGGTGGTGAGAATGCCAGTTCAGATGTTGAGCAGGTATATCTATAAGTTTTCTAATTATTAATTTTTACAATATTTTCTTAATATTGCTCATTTCTGATTAATTATGTATTTAGTATCGTACTTCATTCGTAATTATTTACTTGCTATATTTAAAAATTATTTATAAAATATTCCGACTACCGTTTCAGAAAAAATCAAGACTCAATATTCCAGATGTTCCAAATGTCACTTGTAACAGCACAGGTCGGGTTATATTAGATACGATATCTCTTTTGTCAGACAATGATGATTTAGATTCATCTAAAAAGGATGCAAGAAACAGCGACAATAATACGGAAAATAAAATACATTTGGAACCAATGAGAGCTAGATTACTACCCGCGAGACGTGGCAGAAATATTGAACGGAGAAAGGCATCTACAAAACGTTGGGTGGAGAGAAAGAAGGCTCTTTTGGCTGCAACGGGAGAGGCAGTATCTGATACCGACTCCATAGCTTCCGACGACGTGCAATTGTCGCCTGTGCAAAAGGCACGAGCAAAGACCAATGCTGATAAGGAAACAGAGAAGCAGAAGAAGATCGCAAAAGTGCTGAAAAATCTAGAGATGAATCTCACGGAGAAGTACATCGGATATCGCGACCTCGATACGGATTCTGATGCGCGCCGAACGAGACTGAGCAGAGAATTGCACATGCAAAGTTCGCCACAAAGTAACAAGAATTCGTTGTTGAATCAGATCAATAAAAGAACTAGATCCTCTCTAGAAAGCTCTATAGAAACGGAGAATGCTTCCGTTTCGGCTAATGTGACAGACAAGACAAAAAAACTTGAAACGCAACTTGATGATGAAAATTTCGTGCCTCATTCGTTGAAATCCGAATTGGTAATCGGTGATACCACATATACTGTAACAACAACATTGAGTCTCGTGAATCCATTACAGATTGACAAAGAGAATTTAAATAATTCAAAGGATTCGTCGAAGAGTCTCGACGATAGCAATCGTGAGAAGAATACTGATATCATCGATGCGGTTCAGTTGCGTAGAGTAAATCCTGCACCCACCAAGACAAGCAGCAAGCCCATTAACAAATTCGTCGAAAGATGTTTAAATATTGAAGTAGAGGGAAATGAATTGAGCGTTCTAAAACGCGTACAATACGAATTGGCGGATTTCGTCGAGAAGGAAATGAAGCAAAAATTATTAAATACGAGCGACAGCGTTGCAAAATCCTGTAAAATAGACAGCGTCAGTACAAGTACTTGTCAAAAATTGGACCATAAGTTGAAAGAGATAATAGAACTGGCTATAAAAAAGAATATCGATCCCGATATAATTGCAAAAATGAACACGAGCAGTCAGGAATCTACAAGATTTTCGCCGTCATTAGTGAAATCTGTTAAGAACATGCCCAAGTATCAGCCAAAGGTCGTGATAGAACGTCTAGATATAGCAAAGGAGAGTAAGCATTATAATATTAATAACGCTGTCACGCCGAGGGAGATTACGCAAACTATGTCTACTACGAAGAGTAAACTTGCTGGTCCATTTAGCGCGATTAGTCGTAAACGTCAGAGTATACCTCCGTCAAGATATGGTGAATATAACACCTTCGGATTGGATTCGGAGTTCTCTGACGATACATCAGACGATTCATTCGTTCTAAAGACACCCAAAGTAACCAAACCGAAAATGCCAGGAACTTCAACAGCGAAACAGTCGACAGGAACGAACAATCGACTCGTCAAGGAAAATAAGGTCGAACAGAAACCTGATTATGAAGAGGCTATCAGAATAGAAGGTGCCATAGCTGAAAACCATATATGTGGCGTGTGCGGGCTTACGTTCCATACCCGCAAGGAAGTCGAGGCACATGTTCGCACTCATAAGATGGCACCGGGCATCACTGTCACTCAGATCGTGCTGCAAGATGAGAAACCAATGCAGCTGCCAAAGAAACCAGGACGGCCAAGCAAGCAAAAGATGATGCGTTGCAAAAGGTGCCATGAGATAGTAGAGGCACGTTTCGTTAAAGCGCACATATGCAAGTTACTATCTCACAAGTGCTACGTTTGCGATTCCGTGTTCCGCACGAAGAACCTTCTTGCGAAGCATTTGGAAAGCCACGAGCATTCCGAGTTCAACATAGTAAACGCGATCGAAAAGAAGAAAGTTAACAACAATGACTCGTTGCTGAAAATCATGTCGGTTGCGTCCGCATCACCGCAGAAGGATCAAGCCCAGGAAACTGAGACCACGCCGAAAACGCAGACCATTCAAATTGAAAAAAACGACATCCAGTCCGATAAGATAACCAGCACGGGTGTGAAGTTGGACAGCACTGAAAATATAGTAAGCCTGAGTAAGCCCAAGGAAACATACACCTGTTTCGTGTGCGATAAAATTTTCACAGACGAGGAGGTGCTGAAGGATCACTTACAAAAGCATTGCGATGATTTGAGTGAAGGGGAAAATAGTAATAGCAAAGAACAGTACCAATGCGCTATTTGTGGTAATACTTTGGAATCGGATCAAGCGTTGGAAGAGCACGTCGGCAAACACTTATTCGACGATGAAGATGACAATCCTAATTTAATTAGTATCGACCAAGACAAGGAGAAAAAATCGAGTGAAGTCGAGGCATATCAATGTGGCCAGTGCTCGGAAACATTTAATTCGGAGATGTTATTGGAAGTGCACATGCAAGCACACGAGGAGGAGGTTGCGATAGCAGAATGGGAGAAGCAAGAAATGAAGGTCTATCAATATCAGTGTATGCTTTGCGATGCATTGCTTAATACCGAAGAGGAATTGGCGAAACATTTGGATGTGCATAACGCAAATACATATATATGCCAGTTATGCGACAAACCGTTCCGCACGCTACATGATCTACAAGAACACGTCGCAACTCATTGATGTATAGATTCTATCGTCAATGATTTAAATATAAACAATAAATATTAAAAAATATCTTTGGATTGATAATGATGTGCAGAGCAAAATTTTTGTTTATCTTTACGATTATTGCGAAGTCTGTCAGAACAATGGAAATGTAAAAATTAATTTTTTATACCAAATGTATAAAAAGCCATATATTTGGTTATGCAGAATTTGTCAATTCTAATTTTTCCTTATTTCGTAGGAGATTTATATGCAAATAATCTAATTTATAAAATAATATGCCGTAATATGCAATATTAATTAAGACTTTAAAATTAATTTTTTTTTTAATAGATTCTTTTATGTTTATTATAACACAGGCAATGTCGGAAAGATTCTATGTTTATTTTAATTCAAGATTAAATTAAACTTTTTTTAGTTAAAAGGTTTTGCAAAGTTGATAATCTAAAACGTACAGCCTGTTTGTATTTTAAAATATCTATTTTTTATGTAATTATTTTACAGAAAAAATATTTATTCTAAAATCTATATTCTAGAAAGATATTTCTTCATTCTTATACATATAAAATATAAAAAAAAGGAAAGGGGAATCAATCATATAAAAAAAAATGACTTATGTTAGCGTCACCTTACTCGATGCATCTTACGGAGTTGTCTTTACATTTTTAAGCTTGTATCAATAACACATTGATATAAATATATTTACACACAAAACATGTAAGCTGCCCAAATTATGAAATTTCGTAATCCAAAATTTAGGTCAGTTAAAATGAATCAATTCCGATTGCAAGATTAAGTTTTTCATAAGCTTACTAGACTTTCTTTAATGAGTTTACTCATTTGCCGAGAACCTAAAAAAAAAAATATTTTGTTCCAAGTATTTAATTTATAATGATTGCTCTGATTAAAAAAATGATTTATTTTCGATAAGTATCTATTTAAGATGTGTATCTATACATTTATTGTATGTTATTGTATACTTGATACTTTATTGAAATTTAGTTATATATATATATATATATATATATGACTTAGATACATAAATAAGTGTAAATGTTACAATATATTTTATGTAAAGAATATACTTTAATTGAATACTGCGTAATTATAAATATGTGTAATAATCCCAAGATGCAGTATAAATAATTTACATTAAAGCATTCTAAGAAATAATTATTTAAGAAATCTCAATTTTATTTGCTGTAAAATAGAAAAATTCACTTGTAATTTTCACTTATAATTTTATTAATTTATGACATTTCAATATGCTTCATTTAAATGTTTTTGATTTAAAATATAGATATACATTTTTCTCCAATAAGAGATATTTTTGTTCTTTTATATAATAAAATGTCATCAATATAGCAGAAATGGATAAAATGTAGAAGTCATTTATTAAACGTACATAATAAATTTTATACACATAAGCTCTATAGTTCATATATATTTAACAATTTTATGGAACTGTAAACATACCTTATAAAAGGTAATTCGAAGGATTAATTAAATGAGTGATTGTAAAAAAATCAGTCAGGCTCAATTGTTAAAGTTACTATATATTCTATATATTTACATAAATACTGTGTACATAGACACAATGTATTCGCAAGGAATACTTTGTATGTTTTTTTTCAATGTCTATATTATAATTGAATATCTCTATGACTTTGCAGCTAACTCATTAAATGTTTTACAAAACGAATGAATTTTCTTGTGTATGAAAATAAAGATGTTAGCTACATATTAACTTTACATGATTTATACCAAGTAACTCTCTAGAGTTTCAGATACTTACATTTAGTTTCAGAAAAAACTTATTTCATTCGATATATGTAATGGTATTTGGTAGTATATTACATACTAAAAA